CTCCCCAACCCCCCGGAATCCAAGACCCTCACACAGTCACACCCCTTGAGATTGCAGCAGGGCCAACACCAGCACCCCTGCCTGACGAGGGGCCTCCAGGCAAGTCACTTGGCCTCTCTCATCTTAATTTGCTTAACCATAAAACTGGGATAGCAATATCTACATTAACTGAGATAATGTGAGAATGTGTCCAATGTAGCGCCAAGCGTGTATGCAGTAAGTGCCCAAGAGAGTGGCCGCTCCTATGGCCGCGGGTATCATACCAGCACCATGTCCATTATCATCATTGGCCACAAAGTCACTGGGCAGAATCTTTGCACTCCTGATTCCAACCTCATCTCTGCCCCAAGCTCCAGCCTCCTGGCCTTTGGAAGCTGGCATAGAAGGGTGTGCCCCAGGGGCGTAGGAGCAAGTAAATGTGGCCACAGGACGAGGGGTTGACACCAGGTCAGAGATTGAACTTGAGGGAGCCCCTCTCTATCCCTCTTCCCGTCTCCAACCAGTGTTGATGATAGTCAGTCAAGACCAAGAGTGTCTCCAGTGCATCTGACTCTGTCATATGGGTGTCTGGACAAAACCAAACTTCTGTGGCATTCTTATGTCCCAGAGACTGGGCTGGCTGAGGACTTTCCAGAGAGGAGGGAAGGGAGTAATTGGGGAAGGGGCGTGACCCAGCCCCCTGAGCAGGGTCTGACACCTGTCACTCTTGTTCTGGATACCAGTGATCACTCTGCTCATCTTCCTGAGGAGGCGGCTCCGGAAGCAGGCCCGCGCCCACGGCAAGAGTGTGCCAGAGATCCATGAGCAGCTGGTTACCTATGACGAGGAGGGCGGTGGGGAGATGGACACCAACAGCTACGATGTGTCGGTGCTCAACTCGGTGCGCCGTGGAGGAAGCAAGCCCCCACGGCCGGCGCTGGAGACCCGGCCACCCCTCTACGCCCAGGTGCAGAAGCCACCGCGACACGCACCCGGGGTGCACAGCGGGCCTGGGGAGATGGCAGCCATGATCGAGGTGAAGAAGGACGAGGCGGACCACGATGGCGGTGGGCCCCCCTATGACACTCTGCACATCTATGGCTATGAGGGCTCTGAGTCCATCGCGGAGTCCCTTAGCTCCCTGGGCACTGATTCGTCCGACTCTGACATCGATTATGACTTCCTTAACGACTGGGGGCCCCGGTTCAAGATGCTGGCAGAGCTGTACGGCTCAGACCCCCGAGAGGAGCTGGTGTATTAGGGGGCCCATGCTTTCTGGGCCTGGGGGCCCAGATCCCCTGAAGCCCAGGCCAGTCAGACACCAGGTCCCCAGCCCTCCAAAAGTGGCACTGATTTCCCAGCCCAGTACCCCGTTATCCTGGGCCCCACAGACCTCACCATCCCTGGGATAGCAAACTCCAGGCTCCTGAAATATCAGGAACATAACATGTATTTCAGCATTGGCTACCTCCAAATGCTGGAAAATCCAGGCTAATGTTCTGTCTGGGCTCAGATGCCCACATAATCCTGTCGCCCAGACCACAGTCTAACTCGGTGACTTTCTCTGGCTAGACAAGGTTTCAAAGCAACATGTGTTCAATTGCTGGGGTGGGGGGTAGGGTAGGGGTCTTCCTGTGAGGTCCTTGAAATTCACCCTGGTAAGGCTGGGAGGTCCTGGAGCCTATCAAAGGTTTGGACTGTGTGACCTGTGGGGCCAGACTGCCGCTCAGTCCCAAGGGAGACTGCAAGGTCCCATCTGGCCTTCACTATGAGTCCCAACCCTGTTCTAACTTGCTTCCAAGTGCCCACCACTCCCTGGCCCCTCCCCAGACCTGCTGAGAGGGAGGAAGGGGCCACATGGCAGCTCTTCACCTGGGGTCCTGAGGTGACCACACTGGCCTGCCCCACCAGTGACTATGCTGTACTGAGCGTTGAACCATTCAACCAAATTCAGGGAAATGGTTTGTTGAACTTTGAAGCAACTGTGAATTCATCCTGGAGAGACGGTGGAGATCAAATGTGACAGAGCCTTGGGTGAAGGGCCTGGAATAGCTGAGACCCTGATTTGAGACTTTTCAACACCCCTCCAGTCTTGCCTTCGAGGGGCTCAGATATTTCTGGAGCAGAAGACCCCTCCCCACCTCTGCCTCACCTGGTCACCCATGCCTGTTCTTTCTCTTCTCTGTGTACCCCTTATCTCTTGACTTAGAGGCACCCAAGGTGTGGCCCTGAGCAAGTCAGGCCACTGTCCAAACCCAATCATGACTGCATCACAGAGCCTAACCATTTTCCTTCACACTTTGTTGCCGCATCTCAGGGAACTGACCCTCAGGCACACCTTTTAGAAAAGGCAAGGCCCCTGCCCTGCCCAAGATCTGTGGTCATTTGTGCTTTTCCCACTTTCGGCCACAAATGGAACATTCCAGGTCAAACATGCCTTGGGGAAGTGGCACCAACCAGCAGAGAAGGGCAGGGAAGGAGGCAAACTGTCTTGCTCACCCTTCATTATGGACCAAGGTTCTCACTCTGGGAAAGGCCCTCACACTGCAGGGGTTTGTAGATAACACTGACTTTTTTTTTTTTAACCAGTACTAGTTTTTCACAATTTTTTTACTAATATTTAACAAGTTTCTAGATCTCACAAACATATAGAAAAAGGGTTTTTACATAACAAGCAGGTTGCTTTTTAGGTTAACAATTTTAATTCAGGTTTTATTGTTGGATAAACAATTCTTGTAACCTTCTATTTCCTATCTTTGTAGTGACTGATCTATGGATAATGATTATATATTGACCACACTGGTGCATGAGACGTACTGTATTTTTTTTATACCTAAATAAAGAAAAATCTTGAAATTCTTCTATTTTTAGAGCTGAGAGAGCTCAGGTGAAACACACATATACACATGCCACCAACATCATCAGAGGAACCTAGAGGGGAAGGGGACATTTGTAGATTCTTAGAAAAAACGCTACAGACAGCACATTCCTTTTAAAATTTTAGTCAGCTTCTCATTTTCCACAGCTGTCATTGGTGCCTCAGGCAGCCACAGTGTTAAACAATTGCCACTGATTGTTTTCAACAAATGCTCCCCCTGCTCCACACAAAAGTCTGCTGTCAAGCTCCAAGCCAGGTCAAATAAATAACACCCTTGTAAGTGGAGTCTTCCAAGGGACCAGCAAAAACTGGGCTTTCAAGTTACTCCAACTCTATTCTGTCCCTTCCTAGCAAATGGTTGCTAGGTTTTCACTGTAATAAATGAACCAATAGGTTTCAAGGTACCACAGGGCTGGGGAGAAGGGGATACAATTGTGGCAAGTTAAAACACCACAAAACTTTGGCAAAATGGGAGCTGTTTTTCTTGAACAGTTCTTAGATTGTTGCAAGTTTTTAGTTAATGTCCAAGGTTGTGAAAAAGTTGATTTTGACCATTTTGCCAGTATTCTCACTGCTTTTATCGGAGAAAGGATGTCCTACTCAGCCATTCCTGCTGATATCACCCCTGCAGGTTGGATTTTTGAGTTCAGTTATCTCACCTGTGTTCAAGTGCCTGCTCCTTGAACTCGAAGTTATCCAATCCCTGGAACCTGTGAGATCTGTGCATTCCTTCCTTCTCCAAGATGCCTCCCAGTGCCCAAGTCACCTCCACATAAGACATTTTCTGCCTCCCAGGCTCTGAGCCCCTGGCCACCCTGCCCAACTTCTCTGTTTGGCTCCTGTTTACCCTTGTGTTGGAGGAGGGGCCTACCTCTGAGTTTGGAGATGTCAGCAGACACCAAGGAAGTGCCCAAACCCTGTGCCCCCTGGAATATTCTAATCACCGTGCACAAGCTGCTCCAGGCAAGCCTCACCACCATGAGCACAAGAAGCAGAGGCTCAGTGCCCTTCCCCTCCCCCAGGCCAAACCTATGAGACCAGTATGACTTTCTTCATTTCATAGATAATTCAGGAGAGACTCAGGGAGGGGTGAGATGTGGCCAGAGCCACACAACAAATTAGGAACAGAGCTAGGGTGAAACCCCGCCTCCAGGACCCTAGGAGAAAGCAAATCTGCAGGAGACTTCCCAAAACCTAGGCAGAGGCGAGACTAGGAAGCACCGCCCGCGCCCCTTGCTCTAGGAAATAACCACAAGAGGGCGCGCTGGGTCAACAAATGCTCCGCCCTGGCCAGCATCACCCCACCACCACCACCTAGCAGCGCGCCCTGGCCTCCCTGCTAGACCCCAGACTCCGGGGATCTTGGGACTTGACAGACAACCTGGATGACAGAGGTGGCCTCCAGTCGGTCCGCACAACCCGCCTAGGCTCCCTGCTCCGCTCCTCCTTAACTCCAAGCCATTATTGGGGCGAGAGGCGAGAAAGACAGGGACCTTGCCCCTATCCTCCCGACGGAATCGGGTACTTGCACCCTCCGGCAGCCCAGCCGGCACCGAGAATCTCAACTCACGGGCTGCAGCTGGCCCTGGCAGCCAAATCCTTGGTCTTGAGAGGTCACGGTTCACCCCAATATCCCTCCCTGCAACAGAGACCCTTGCCTCAGTGTCCACCCCCAGCCTTCCTGCTCTGCCCCGCCCTGTTTTCTCCCAAACAATCCTGGAGGGTTGACTCTGGGACAAAAACAGAGCCTCAGTACCCCAGCACCCTGATTCCACGCCTCCTTTAAGTTACATCCTACAGTCCTCGGGATGACAAGTCGAGTCTCTGATCCTCACAACCAAAACCCAGACCACGACCACCCTGCAATAGTCCTTCTAAGGATTAACCTAAGAAACGTGCGCAGGGTGTGTCTGCCACAAAAATTCAACATATTTACAAGCCAAAAGATTGGAAACAACATAAATGTCCAACAATAAGAGGCTAGTTACTTAAATAAGGGCAGATCCACAAAATAATGCAAGAAAGCCATTACAAGTCATGCTGTGACTGGTGATCTTGAGCTGATTTCAAGGGCAAGCAAAAAATCAGAACCCAGTGCATTATTTAGTCAGGTCCTAATTTTTTTTCTAGTAGGATACCCATCTCCAGTTACGGAATTACGAATAAGGTTTCTTTTCTTCTTTATTCTGTTTTCCGAGTTTTCTGTAATCAGCATGGGTATTTTTATAATCAAAAAAGTTTTATTTTAGTGTTAATTTGTAAATACTTTCTTGTAATTGATAAGCAAAATTTGTCCCCAGATACCATTTTTTTTTTAACTTTGGAAGTTTTTGTTTAAAAAAAACATTTCGGGTTCACTATTAATGCAAAATACTTCTTAAAATTAACTAAATTTCTCTGTCATTACTCTTAAACCCCCCAAAATCTGTTGTTGGATCATTAGTGTTATTGTTTACTTCTGAAAGCATTTCTCTAATTTTGGTCTGTGGAGCCTGAACCTCTTAGCCTTTGGAGTTCTTTCACCCCAGATTTCTAGCAACTCTCTAAATCGGAGCAATTGCCGTGGACAGAATGAGGAAACCCTGGCTTTCCAGCCAAGTAACCTTCATAGGATTCTGCAATGCCTTGAAATACCCAATATTCCTCTTTTCTCAAAGATAAGAGAAACAGTTGGAGCAGATTTCTCTCAGCACATCCAGAGGTCATCTGGGATGTCTGGGAAATCTGTGTAGATACCAACACTTCAGGATTTCACAGGACTCTGAATGTGCTTTTGGAGCCTAGGGCATAGGAAGCCATTAACTTATGATGCTTTTTGTGTAATGGTTGCTGGGGGGAATGTTTAACATGTTGCACAGGAAGCTGCAGTGAACAAGGTAGGGTTGTATTCAAATAGCTGAGAGACAATGTAAGGCACCATCTAAAAGAGTTAACCTAGAACCTGCCAGACAAAAAACCCAGTAACAAAAATCTTTTTTGCCTATTTGCAAGTCTTTCACAATCTTCCTTGACAGGTGGAAGGGAGGGAGAGTAGGGGAATGAAAGGAAAAGCAGGAGAAAAGAAGGAACAGGTGAAGGGGGGAGAAGGGAATGAGAAAGGGAAGGAAGAAGGATCTTTAGTGAGTTTATACAAGAACTGAATGAATGGTATTTATGAGGACTTATATAAGGGTGGCTAATGCAGCAGGATGTCTTCCTTATCTACTGCTACGTAACAAATTACCACAAATGCAGCAGCTGAAAACAACATATTCATCACCTCATAGTTTCCATGGGCTGAGAGTCTGGGAATAGCTTTGCTGAGTTCTCTGCTTCAGGATCCCCCCTGAGAGCTACAATCAAGATGTCAGCCAGGGCTACAATCTTATCTCAAGGACCCACTTCCAAGATCACACAGTTGAATGATTTCAGTCCTTGCAGTCTATTAAACTGAGGGTCTCTCCAATATGGTCACTGGCTCCCTTCAAAGCCAGCAAGCTCTCTGCTAGCAAGAGGACACTGCAGTGTTATATAATGTAATCTCAGAAGTACCATCCTGTCATCTTTGTCACATTTTTCATTCTATTGGTTATAAATAAGTTACAAGTCCTGCTCACACTCAAGTGGAAGGGATTGCACAGGACTGGAGTACCAGAGGTGGGGACAAGTGGGGTCATCTTGGCGTTTTTCTACAACACAGGAATTCTCAGCCAACCAAACTGGGGGTTCTGCATCGAGCTGGTTCTGAGGCTGGAGCACTGACATATCTCTGGGCAAATATTTGCAGCATCCGATAAACTCAGGGTTTGTCTACTGGCTGGAGGAGGAAGAAATGTGAGCCTACTGAAAATGAATGTACTTAGAATGGTAACCTGATTTTTATAATAATTACCAGAAGGTTAGAAGTTGATCGAGACATTATCTTTAACATGAAACCAAAAATTATGAAAAAATTTCATATTTTTATATGAAATTTCACATTTTTTGCTGCAACCATTCTCTCACTCTTAAAGGATGATTCAAGCGGTTAATACTTGAATCACCAAATACTCAAGTAAAATAATAGCCACTTCAACACACAACATAAATACACAGGAACATAATGTAATATCCTTGTATTTTAGGAGTATCTTTGACTTACACAAAGAGAAATTTCATAAAAATATTCCAGGCTCATTAGTTCCCCTAAAGTTTTCTCATAATCCTTTGATGTTCAAATTATTTTCTCTCAAAGCCATGTTTTATCTTCTTTGTCAATACTCTCTTTGTTCTTGATTTTCCCAACTCATCTGGGTGTTCCACTGTCACTGGCTCGGTGGATTAGAGATGCAATAACATGTTTATGAACTTTATGAAATTATTCATCTTTTGCAAGATTTACGAATTCCTTTAGCAGCTTGTCAATTTACATTAAAAAGACTGTTAGGAGTTAGATTGTGATTGGGTTGAATCTGTAGATGAATTTGGAGAGAATTCACATTTTAATAGTTCTGAGCCTTCCAATTCATGAACATGGTATATCTCTCCATTTAGTTATGTCTTCTTTGATTTCCTTCATTTTAGTTTTGTGGTTTTCAGCATGTAGATTCTCCATATATTTTGTTAGATTGTAACTAAAAATTTCAGTTTTTAAAATTGTACCCGTTCATTCTTAGTACTTCATCCACTTTCTGGTATTTTTTTTTTTTTTAGACAGAGTCTCATTATGTCACCCTTGGTAGAGTGATGTGGTGTCACAGCTCACAGCCACCTCCAATTCTTGGGTTTCAGAGATTCTCTTATCTTAGCCTCCCAAGTAGCTGGGACTACAGGCACCTGCCACAATGCCTGACTATTTTTTGTTGTAGTTGTCATTGTTGTTTGGCATGATTGGGCTGGGTTTGAATCCGCCAGCTCCAGTGTATATGGCTGGTGCCCTAGCAGCTGAGCTACAGGCGCCAAGCCACTCTCTGGTATTTTGTTATAGAACTCAAATGCACTAAGATAAAT